AGAATGGGTGGCCTGAGTCACAACTGCATTCACTTGGTGAAAAATCCACGCAAACATTAGTTTGTCATATTTTATTCTTCACCAGAACAATGGACAATTGCCGCAGGGCTGTTCCTCTGGCAGAAAGCCACCTTCCTATGACTTATATTGGATTATAAGTAGCCATCGTTTCAGAAGAAGGTTGTCCCGTTACCTGAGTCATGATGCCATATGTGATTTCTTACTCTTCACCACCCATGGTTAGTGGCATAAAAACCACACAGACCACAGCACTGTTTTCAACAAAGTGAAATTCCTCTTTATGTGCTGTTCCCCAAGAGCATGGCATACTGCACTTCACTTGCAAACCTCTGTGGCAAGTTGTCTACAGAAACCCAATCGTAGGATTTTTAGAACAACCTTTCCCCTTTCTGATGCTGTTCCCGTAGAAAAGGATGATCAAGGCCACAGAGTGCAAATGAAACATCCACAAACATTGTTGATGATTTAAATGATTATCCTACAAGTGGTCAATGTGTTGCAGTGTTTGTATCAACCACAGTAATAGAAATGGTCTGCAAGCAGTACCCAGTATGGGCCTGATCCTGCATTCCTCATGCAGGTATGAGAGTTATAACTCAATGGGAGTTAGACCTGGAGGAGGAGTGCTGTAAAGCATAGAAGTGCTTGTTCAGTTCCACTTCATCTCTGTATAAATGTATGTTTTCATCGTGCCTTACCTGGTATTTTCAGCCGTTTGCTTGCACATAAAGTAGATATTAAAATATTTTATTAAATGTTTTTGTTACATTCCAGCTAGCTTTCTTGTGTAAACCCAAGAATATGCTGTGAGATAATTTTAGTGAATAGTTGCAGTATGTTAGTCTTCAAAGCAGAGGGAAGAAATGCAAATGGACAGCACCTTTTAACTATTAACTATCAACAGAATCTGTAGGGTGACATTTATTCCTTTTTTTTTCCCAGTTGCAACAGATATATACGATGACCTTTCCCCCATAGTTAGGTACAAAACCCAAGGATTTGTTTTGCATAGATTCTTTGAAAAATGGCATAAGGAAGTGTTTAAAATTTGTTGTCTGCCAGATGATGGAACTTGAATAGAAATTCAGCATTTTTCAGTCCCAATGATACCTCTGTCTTATTTCTGAGCCCTTCTAGTCTGTATTTTTCTTAAGAGGCTGCTGTGACTTCTTGTTTGTTTGAGTTCTGGTGCTTATTTGCTGCTGAGTATTCTATCTTTTTTCAATGCAGGTTCTAAAATGTCTAGAAATAGGTCAAGATGTTTTAGAAGTATGAAAGGTTTTTTCTTCTTCTAATGAAGTTTCTGTGGGATAGATTTAAAACCCAAAACATATTTTGAAATGCATTTGTGATATGGTTCTTTTTTCTTATTTTATACTGCACAGTACAAAAGCATAAAAGGACACATATATAACCAAAGTGTAAGTCCTAAATAAGATGTAATTTTAAAAGTCTCCTTTCCCCCTATTTTGCTACTAAGAACATAAAATAACAAAATCAGGGTTTTTAAAAAAGTATTTGTCTATTTTACTACACTTCAGTTATCTGTTGATTGCCATCAGGAAACAATACAGCATTCGCAATAGCTTCTGTTCTTAATCCAGCTCTGTCCAAATAGGTTGTTAATTAGTTGTAGTTGGTGTCATTATTAATGACAGGTTTCAGAGTAGCAGCCGTGTTAGTCTGCATTCGCAAAAAGAAATGCATCCGATGAAGTGAGCTGTAGCTCACGAAAGCTTATGCTCAAATAAATTGGTTAGTCTCTAAGGTGCCACAAGTCCTCCTTTTCTTTTTGTGTCATTATTAAGTAGGCAGCCCCAGACTGCAGCAAAATATTTCCATTGCATTAGAACCAAACTGTAAAGTATCTGGAAAGTACATATCTCACTTCATCATTTACCCGCCATTGTGAGGCCCTCCGGCACCGGTGCAACTTGCTCCCTCTTATTGGCTGCCTGTGGCACATAATAGTCTCATCTCATGTGGGCTGTAATTCTTTGGTCTAATTTTCATTTTTGGGTTTACAGTGCAGGTGCTGCGTGGTGTCTGTGGCCTGTGATATACAGGAGGTCAGACTAGATGTTCTTGTACTCCCTTCTGGCCTTAAACTCTATATGACAAATTACATGAGCTAGAGCTCTGATGAGAAGTTTTGAATAGTAGTAGCCAAATCAGCAGCCATTGGGTAAATCTACTTCATGTGAAGCTATTTCTGAAGCCAATGTCTTTCTCTAGTTTCTACTATAACTCTGGCAAAATTTATACAGTAAAATAATTCAACCTGTCTGCAAACAGAGAAGCAGTTACTCATGCTATCATGGTAGAGACCAGGGTTTGGAATAAGTGGGATAGTATTAGAGATGGGCAAATCCTGCAAAATACATTCCAGGTGTAGTGGTCCCTCAATCTCAGGCTCAGAGGGAGGCCACTCTGACTTGCTGCATCAGGCAATAAACAGAGGGTAATTAGCAGTCCCTATCCCAATCCTCTTTAGGCAGACAGTAATTCAAGTCTGGGTTCTGACCCTCTGGGTGGGCAGAGCAATAAGCAGTCTTTGGGCCCAAGCCTCCTGGGTAAAGCAGACAGTAAAAACAGTCAGGCTCTGAATCCCTGGGCACAGCAGAGCAACAAGCTGTCTTTAGTCTGAGCTTTCTGGATAAGGCAGGCAATAACTACAGTCTGGGCTCTAACCCTCTGGGAAGGGCAGAGCAGTAAGCAATTAAGCAATGTTTTGCCTAGCCTCCTGGCTAAGGCAGACAGCAAACTGTCTAGGGGCATGCAGCTTTCTGGCCAGGGTAAACCACAAATAAGGCTCCGGACTTCTGGCCTACGGCCATCCCAGGGTTGGACTTGGCAGCAGAGGGGGTAGGAGGACCCAGGCCTACCCTACTCCACCAGGCCCCAGCCCAGGACCTTAACAGTGACAGGGCATCCCGCCACTGGGTCAGGGGAATCCTGCCAAAACACACTGACTTGTATTGCAACAGCACAACCTGACTAACATCTGGTTCCCCGGGGCTACTTCCTACCACAGTCCATTGGTATGACTCCATCGTCTGTGTCCCCTCAGTTTCCTCGGTGGTGGGTGGCAGTCCCAACAACTCTTTCCCACTCTTGGTTTCCTTTGGGGGCAGGGCCCCATACAGCTTGGGGTCTGGTCCAGAGTACTACAGTGGGCTAGAGACATCTGCCTCCTTCACTGGCTCTGGCCCAACTGAGCTGAAGGGCCCAACTCTTATGTTTCCCGTCCTTCCCCTCTGCTTCTCGCCTGGGGGATACGGCAAGCTTGGCTCTGCCCACCAGGTAGAGTGTAGTGTTCCCTCCATCTCAGGCTTGGAGGGAGGCCACTCTGCCTTGCTACACGTGGATTACTTGTGCATACTTACACATCAGTTCACTTTCAGCAATATTCATGCCCCTTTAGTGTTGACTTGCACCAGCAATTGAATTTACTTATTTATTTATATGTTTGTGGAAAGCAACTTTGAAGTGTGTGTGCTCAAGTTTTCACATAAGAAATGTGAGACTTTATCAAGTAAACTATATATCCAGAAAACCAATAATTTTGGAAAGGGAGATTACAATTTATGGAGAAACTGATGAATTGGTAGTATAGCTAAGTAAGCACAGTCAAGGCATATCATGGTATTTGGACTGTAAGAAAAGGAAGGCTTACAAAAGAGACAAAAATCTTGTAATTGCTGTCATTAAGTGCCTAAGCCTTTTGTGGTACATGAGTAATAAGAATGTTAACACAGGGAAACAACAGACAGAAAACTGCATAATGAGAATGAATTCATCAACCTCTCATCTCTAATACTCAAAAAGCACGCAAGAAGAATTAGACCAACAACTAGAAAAATCCAATCCATTTTCAGGATTTGTTTGAGGATTCTTTACACAGACTGCCTTCATAGTTTAGAAAAATCCTCTTCTTTTAAGTCCACTCCCCAGGAATTTATAAAAGACTGGGACCATATCATGATTCAGAGAGCATGACAATACGGTCACTGGTACTCCACTTGCACCAGGGGAAAATCAATCAGCACCAGTCCTATAACTGGAAGAGATTACTTCCCTTTCCATGTTGACTCAGCTGTACCCCATAGAAACCTCTTTTCCCATGCCACCCCCAACTCCTACAAGGCTCTCCCTTGTATGCGTGCATGATAAAGCTTATAATTATGAAAGCTCCAAAGTTTGTTTTCACATACACAGTAACTATACATATTGCAAATGATTGCTGCTTCTGGTTGCGATTAGAACTGGGTGAATACTTGACTTTTTGGTTCAGCCAGCAAACCAAGAAGTCAGTGGAAATTTTTGGTTCATTTCCAAAAGTGTTCATAATTTGTCAGCAAATTGGAAATGTTCATTTCAGGCAAGTGAATCGTGTGAGTGTGCCCCTTTAAAACCTTTAGCCCTGACACTTGCCTGGCTTGTAGGAAACTCAGGTTTGAATTCCTCCGAAGGAGCAGTGACTTGAAGTCAAACCTCCCAATCCCACACACACACACAAGTGAATACTGTAACAACCGGACTATTCGCTATTTTGCGGTGGATTAGTCTCAGTCTTTCCTGATGAAGCTGTTCCATTTAGCATAAATAATTAAATATTCATTATGTCAAAGAAATAGAGAGTGAGGAGTGACCTAGTGATTAAGGCACTCACCTGGGGGGTAGGACACGTGGATTCAAATCCCTCTTCAGAGAAAATAACCACTATGCCAAAGGACATGCACATACAGAAAATTTGCTGAACCTGAAAAACTTTTCCCCAAGCCAAAATTATCCATTCAAATTCACGAATAGTTCCAGGTCAACCAAAACTGCATTTTTGGGCAAATAAACTATCACACCCAACTCTAGTATAAGTTATTGCAACAAGTAGACTGGATTCTAATAAGTATACAGAAGGGGCTCCCATATTCTTGGTATAAATGAACAAATTATTGTGTTAAGTAATAAAAAAAGAGTACCTGGCCACTTGCACATGGGGACTGGCCCAGAGTCCACTGTAATCAATGTCAGGATCAGGCCTGTAGTGCTGGAGGCTTCAGCTGTATCTACTATGTACCTGAATAAGCACCAAGAGAAATTTATTAGACCAACTTTACCTATTGCCAGAGATATAATGTTACATTGAACAGAGAACTGATACTCTCTGAAAAAGCATGGATCAATGGGCTTTGTGTGCAAGCACCTCCCAAGAAAACAGTCAGAGGTCCTAGGATATTCAATATGGAATAGGACTTACCTGGACACTGGCTAGGACAAAAACATAAATACCCTCAATGCCAATACTAGCGCCAACTTGTTAAGCTACTAACAGTCAAAGATCTGTCAGGGGAGTGAGGCTACACAAAGAGTTTACAGTATGGCCCACACCTGAATGGAGAGGTTGTCTCACGGACCATTTCCCTGTGTGAATGACAATCACATAACATTTCTGTAGCCACTGTAACAACTTCTTACACACAAAAATATTAAAAATTAGTCTCAGAGGAACAGCCGTGTTAGTCTGTATTCGCAAAAAGAAAAGGAGTACTTGTGGCACCTTATGCTCAAATAAATTGGTTAGTCTCTAAGGTGCCACAAGTACTCCTTTTCTTTTTGAAAAATTAGTCTGATATTCAATGCTTCTGCTGGTGGCTCCATTTCCTGAGCAAGACCATTTCCTCCCCTCCTTCTCTTTTATAGTAGTGGCTACTAATACAGGCAACTAGACTGAGTCCACCTACTTGCAACCTACTGCTTTCAAAGGCATCCTGTGCACATGGGGTTAATCTGGCTCAGTATCTTTAAGCTAACAAGCTAGAATACTTAACAATGGACCAAAACCCGACAATCCTTACTCAAGCAAAACTTCCTTTGGGATAAATGGAAGTTTTGACTGAGTGAGGACATCAGGATTTAGCTCCTAGTACACCACAAAACTCCCCCTCTGTTTGAATGGCTAGTAGAAGCAGTGATTAATATTATCTCCTCCCCCAGGCCCCAAATCTATCTCCAAACAAGCTGGTCACCAGCACTATCCCTAAAGGTTGTGAGAAGTGCTTTGCTAATTATTAAATCCTGCTACTTAGAAGTATTATATAGCTGGTACAGTACAGTCTGCACATTATAGTAATACTGTAAATAATGTAGTTCTACAGCTACTCATTAAAAAATTTGCAAACCAAAATGATGCATGATTAATGGATTCTATATTGTAGGTGGTAAAAGCATGCTTCATTTAATAAAAATGAGATGCAAATTAATTATCCAAAACCAGTGACAAATAGAAACAGGCTGGCATTTCTATATTCAGCTTAATTGGGGAAATATGCGAAATTCATATAGAAGGAAAACAGGAATGCATTTAAAATACATCTTTCAAATATACTCAAGTTACAGTAGTGGGGGAAGGTTTCATTTTGCTTGCAGCTTCCACTTCACTCAACTGAAGATATCATCAAATCAGATATTATGGGAAGAGGGGATATATATAGTAAGTGCTATAATTAATACTGAGATTGTCTACATACGGGGCTTAGTCCACACTAACTTGGGTTAGTCTGTGTGAAGATGCCTGCATACGCACTGCAATTCATTAGAGAACACTAACTCCACATTCATCATGAACTCTGGAGTCCACTTTCAATACGTACTAAGTTTGATGTGAATTGAGTTAGTGCAGTCTATTGTTTGGGTGCAGCCATTGATGCTGTGCACTACTTTGGCAGTCCTCCAATTGCTATCCCACACTGCTTTGTGGGCATCTGTGCCATTACGCCCCACGTTCTTCATAGAAATACTGTTATGATATGAATATGGCATAACTAAGATATGTTTTATGCAAGATGTGTCATGTGAGGTATCATTGGAAAGGTTACCATTTGCTGAATGTGATTATCCAATTTCTATGCATGTATCTTTTCTGTATCTGAAGTTAGGAATATTGACTATATAACAATTACAACGGTGTGTGTACTTGGGGAACGCCCACCAGACAGCATGCAATCAGCCTGTGTAGGGGAAAAACTATAGCTTTCATTTTGTTTTGGCACTTTGCCATTTTGTTTGTAAGGAGTTGTTGTTTGTCCACCGTGTTGGTGACCTTCTTCTTGAGACAATTGGCGTCTTTTTCTCTCTAAGGTGGGAAAGAGCAAGGGTCACATGGCCTGTGTTCTACCTAGTAATAGGAGAGCATAAAAGACTGCTGCACCCGAGAGGAGAAGCTGTACATGTGGCAGCACAGTATATGTCCTAGCCAAGACTTCGAGGGATCTACAGAAGAAGATCCAAACTCCATAGTTCCAGCTATCAGTTCCTGATTGATTCCTATCTTACCGGTATCCTGAACTCCTGTGTCCTCACCTTGCTGTCCTGACGTATTCCATCCGTGATGTCCTCGGTCGTGAGTCCATGCCTCTCAACCTGGTGTAGTATGCTGTGTACTTCTGTACCTTACCAGTAGCAAATTCCCCTTTGTCCTCATGGGTTTGGGACCTTGATTTTATGTCAGTTTGTTGTGCCAACCTGTACCTGTATGCCCTTTGTGTATTGTTTTGCTGGGGATCCTATAAGTTACTGTTTCCTGTTTGAGTCACTGTTTAATAAACCAGTTTGCTTTATAGTTAATCCTGTCCTTAGTTTTTTCTCCATTGATAGATGCGGTTTGGGGGAATGAGTCTGCTGGGTGGGGACTCTGAGGTGTGGAACCTAGAGCACACCCAGTTAACCATAGGTAAGATCTGAGTTCCTGGTTAACACCTGGATGGGCCATTAGGAAGGACAATAGGTCTTTAAAGGTACTAATCTCCCTCCATCCTGAGAAGTTTCCTGGGATGCTGCTTTGACATTGCAGGGTCAGGTAATCATGTCACCTGGTATTAGACCCCACCTTGGGCTTTTAGTGTTTTTCTATAAAGGGTCAAATTAGGAAACAAAGCATTTCCACCATATGCAAATCCTATTTAAGGCTGGGGAGTGAATTAATCTAGGCTCTTCTCCACTGCCTCCCCACCCAAGAAGGAAGACTGCTGAAAATTCCTGAAGAAACAAAGGAACTAAGCTGGGGGAGGTGAGACAGATCAGCCTGTAAAAGGAATCTCTGGAGATTTAAGCTGCAAGCAGTGCAGTTTACCTTCAAGAACTCTAAAACATGCCTGAAACAACATTTAGGGTGAGAAGTTATTATTGTAGCCAGATTCCTTACTGTATTAAGCTTAGTTTGCCTGTTTTGTTTTATTTGCTCAGTAATCTGCTTTGTTCTGTATGCTTTCCCTTATAAACACTTAAAATGTACCTTTTGTAGTTAATAAACTTGGTTTTTTGTTTATTCCGAAACCCAGTTTATGCAATTCATAACTGCTGGGGGCAAAAAGCTGTGCATATCTTCATCCACATTGAGAAAGGGAGAAAATTTCAGGAGCTTACATTGTATAAATCTCTATACAGTGCAAGACAATATAATTCTGGGTTTACACTCTAGAGGGTGTGTGGACCACAGTGCTGGGTAATTCCCCAAGCTGAATCCCCCCACAGAGCTGATTGCAGACTCTGTGATATTCCACAGTTGGGTGTGTCCCTACCTGTATGTGTGCTGGAAGGGGGCTTGAGAGCCTGTCACAGCAGCACTGCAAGGGAAACCCAGGCTAGTGGGATAGGCAGGCTCAGTGGGACCCCAGCACATCAGGTGGCACCCTGGAAGGTGGGGGTCTAACCCATCACAGCATCCATGACCAATCTGTCTATTTACCTGTCTACCTTCTACTGCTCTGGGATCAAGTTGACCAGATGGTCCCTCCCCCATTTAAAGACAGGCACTGAGTAAGGATCAGCCCATTTGCTCCTGGATTCAAATATATCAGCATTGTTGCAATATTACTCCAGCAGCCTTTACAACATGCCTTGAGCAGCCACTTCAGGCCAGAGGTGCTAGCTCTCCTCACCATCTGGAGAGAAGCATTGGTGCAGCAGGCTCACAGAATAAAGATGTGTTTGTGAACACTGCAAGTCAGATATCTGAAAGGGATCACAAGCAGGATCCTAACGGTGCTGGATAAAGAACAAACTGCTTGGGAGAATTTACGATAAAACCAGGGATGTCAACTGTGGATGTATAACGTCAATTTTTTGAGGAGAGGGGGCAGATCTGCACCCCCCCCCCCCACATGACCTCGCCTAAGGATAACTGGCAAGAGTCTTTAGAGAAGGAACACAAGCAGAGCAATGAGGAGCTCTTCTGGGAAAGCCAGGAGCTCTTCAGGACTCAGTACCCTGAAGGCATCCAGCATCCTGAAGCCAATTCCCAGCAAGCAACTCAATCTAGGACTCAGGAGGCATGTCCTATCAAGGAAACGTTGGCACATAAGCATCTCTATAATTTATTTATACTTTATTGCTGTGCTAGCTTCTGTTCTGGAAGCCCCACAGCTACAGCAATTTTTGGCAGATGTGAGCTAGGAGCGTTTCAGAGTCTCCAGCCCCCACCTCTTTGGGCCCACACTATGCTTTTCATTCATTCAGCCCCTTTACACACACAGACACACGTTTCAAAATGGCAGCTGGACTGGCTGGGCAATTGGCTTTTGTCTCAGGCTAAAGTCCCGACCACTAACTGTTTACAAGCCCATACCATGGAGGGCACATGCCCATCTACCCATTTTCCTTTTCCCGTCCCTGCATCTGTCTTGTCAAAGGAATGCGCTCCCTCAGAAAAATATCCCCATGGCTGCTCAAAATGGTGGCCAGCAGCATTGGACAGCCACAACCTCTACCTCACTTCCCCTCCCACAGCATACTTGAATACTGAAAACATTCAGTTGTGTGAAATTCAGCAGTTTGTTGAGACAGTGGTTACAGGAAAAGAAGTTTAGTTAGTGTTCTCAGTTTACAGGAGGTAGACGTGGGCACTGCACATCTATAAAGGTAGTAAGACTACACTCCTGCTGAGGTATATATGTCCTGTTACACACATTTGTACAGGAAAATAAGTTTGCTTTAGGGATAGCATATCTATACAGCTCTTAATGGCTTTTCACAGGCTTATGTACCGAAAGACTGGGAGCAGTTAAGGCTTCAAAACAATCTTTGCAGAACCCAAACTATTTTTCTCTGCACTCTCAGCAGTCTACAGGGGAGATAAAGCAGAATCGAAGACTGAGAAATTGCTCAGTTGTATTCTGGAGGGATAGTTTCTGCAGTGTAGCTTGCAACTCACTTCCCCTTCTGTGGCATTTTTGGGGGGACCATCTTGGTGAATAACTTCACAGTGGATCTCACTGGTCTGCCCTTTGCCTTTTTGAATAAAGCCATTCTCTGCCTCCTAGTCACCCACCTCAGTGTAACATCATCAAGAGTCAGGGCAGCCTACCAGGGATGCAAAGGGAATGACTATCCAGCTCACCCCCAGATGACCTCCCCGAACTCCTCTTGCCCCAGATAAGCACCTCCAAGACACAGCTTAAACAACAAAGCTAAAGTGGGAATATAATCCCTAGGACTTCCCCCAATAGCCTCCAACGCACAACTGCAAACCCTAACAGCAAATCCTGCACATCCAAAAATCTCAGGCATATACCACTAGCCCACATGCAGACACCACTTACCATTTCTGAGATCTCCCCAAGACTGGGAACAATCTCAGGGAGGGGAAATCAGAAACATGTTAAAAAATCTATTATAGCCTCTTTGAATATGAATAACTGCTGGGTTGTTTTTTTCCATACTCCCCCAGCTATGGCACCTGCAGTAGCCAGACCCTCAAGGACAGGGCCTTTACCGAAGACTGAGTGGCTGGCTCACCTGAGGGGGAAGAAACTGAGAACATGGGATGAGATGTCTGAAGACCTCTGTCATAAATATAAAGGGAAGGGTAAACACCTTTAAAATCCCTCCTGGGCAGAGGAAAAACCTTTTCACCTGTAAAGGGTTAAGAAGCTAGGATAACCTTGCTGGCACCTGACCAAAATGACAAATGAGGAGACAAGATATTTTCAAAGCTGAATGGGGGGAGAAACAAAGGCTCTCTCTGTCTGTGTGAAAGGGGATGTAGGGTTTGGGGAGCATTTTGGGGGGAAAGATGTTTCCAAGTGGGCTTTTTCCCAGTTATATATCTGTTAGACGCTTGGTGGTGGCAGCAATAAAGTCCAAGGGCAAAAGGTAAAATAGTTTGTACCTTGGGGAATTTTCAACCTAAGCTGGTAAAAATAAGCTTAGGGGGTTTTCATGCAGGTCCCCACATCCGTACCCTAGAGTTCAGAGTGGGGAAGGAACCTTGACAACCTCATTGCAGATTCCTTCCAAAAACAAAAACAAGAGAGAACCAGAGATTGTTTTTTAGGTCAGACAGGGAAAAAGAAAGGAAATTATCCAGAGAAAGCTCAGATAGAACCCAAACAGCCTCTGCATATTCACAGTTGCCAGCACAGCAGTGCAAAGCATTGCAGGATCCACACTAGCGGACAGCAATTCAAAAACAGCACTAGCCCACCCAGAAAGAGAGGAAGCATGTGATGTGAGAGTGGAATCATGGGATTTTTGATCCCAAGTTCCAGCATTCATCTGGCTTCTGCTATGCATCCCGCAAGCTGCAGCAAGAGAAATCCCAGAATGCACACAAATCAGCAGCAAAGCAAAGGACTGTAGAATACCCTCCCGGAATGCCATGCACTTAGTGTGCACCAAGCTCCTGCTGCGTGTACACAATGATGTGAATGGAAAGAGGCACAACTGTCCCATGTGCACACTGTTAATGAGTTTTGTACACTAACTAGTGCGTGTCAACTCACTGTGAACTAAACTACCAGGTAGCCAAGACCCTAGTTGAAAGGGGAAGAGAAACTTATGGATATTACTGTTTTTAAAATATTTTTTTCCGAGAATATCAGTAACTAATGAATAGGAAGCAAGACTGTTTCTCATTCCTTTTCCACCCTAGCAGGTTACGCCAATTACATAAAGATTATATATTTGATCTTTCTGACTAGTAAGCAAAAGTGACAGTTTCTGGTTAACACCACCATGATTTCTGAGGAATAGTGCTTGTTCTGCACTCTCCATTGACACAAGCAGCAGAAAAAGACTGAAACTAGCAACAAAGAAGTTGAAAGAACTTCTGCAAATGGGGATTACACACATCTTCCCACTACCTTGGGAGAGAAAACATAACAGCTGTTCTTCTGAACTATGCAATGTGAGGTTTCCAGGTGGATGAAAAAATCAATTAGATGCCTTTTTCATTCTGTAAATATAATGAACGAAAGCAACTCAGAGAACACAGTGTAGGACAAAAACAACCAACCTTCCAAAATAACTCTCCTAAAATGAGCTATTATGTAAGGTCACAGTCCTAATTTCTATGGCTTATTCGACTGCTATTGCTCAGAATTCTAGGTCCTTTGATTTAGTGAAGTATTGAATTCAGTTACTTCAGAACTGTCAAGTAACAGAAAAATAACTGTGCAAGTATCCAAAGTGTTTGATTTATTCAGCTGGATATTTTTGAACCCAAAGCCATTGCGGCCTTATATCCAGAGAGCACACAGTCTCCAAAGAGCCATTACTTTCTGGTTTCTATCCAACTTCACTTTTCATTTGTAACTGCCTATGGCATTATGAAATATTTTTAAAACATTTATTTTGCCATGCAGCTCTTTTAGTTCTACCTTTTGCTACACTGAAAACTCATTTAAAAAAATTACTCATTAAATATCAATTCATTTCTCAAAGCCACTGGAAATTCCTCTTCCATGCTAACTCAAACTTTGTTCCACAGTTTCATTTTACTCCAAGCTGAGTATTAAATCAGTTCAGAATTATAAATACTCTTTCTTCCTTCATTTATTTTGAAAGTTCCTTTAAGAACATAAGAACAGCCATATTGGGTGAGACCAAAGGTCCATCTAGCCCAGTATCCTGTCTTCCGACAGTTGACAATGCCAGGTGTCCCAGAGGGAATGAACAGAACAGTTAAGCACCAAGTGCAGAGGTGAAAGTAAGCCGGTACACCCCGGTACTGGAGCAGCCTGGCTTCCCCAGGGGGCAATTTAAAGGGCCTGGGGCTCCCAGCAGTGACTAGAGCCCCAGGCCCTTTAAATTGCCTCCAGAGCCCCGCTGCTGGAGCCCTGGGGTAGCAGCTGCGGGGCTCCAGTGGCTATTTAAAGGGCCCAGGGCTTCCCTTCTTCTACTGCCCTGGCCCTTTAAATAGCCGCCGGAGCCCCACCGCCACTGCTCCAGGGCTCTGTGGGCTATTTAAAGGACCGGGGCGGTAGAAGCAGGGGAGCCGCAGGCCCTTTAAATAGCCCCCAGAGCCCTGGGGTAGCGGGAGCTCTGGGGGCTATTTAAAGGGCCAGGGCTCCAGTTGCCTCTGCTGTCCCAGTCCTTTAAATAGCTGCTGGAGCCCCGCCGCTTCCCCAGGGCTCCAGCAGCTAATTAAAGGACCAGGGCAGTAGAATCAGGGCAGCCCCGGACCCTTTAAATAGCCCCCAAGCCCCAGGCTGCTGCTGCTACCCTGGTGGGGGAGGGAAGAGAGGAGGAGGAGAAGGAGGGGGGGCACTTACCTTACAGGGTGGGCTGGGGCTGGCTCTGACCCCCTCAGCCCCACCCCTTTGCCCTAGGTCCCGCCCCTTCTGGGAGCCAGAGCTGGCCCCAGTGTACTGGTAAGTCGCAGGACTTACTTTCACCCCTGACCTAGTGATCTATTCCATCTCCCATTCCCAGCTTCTGGCAAAGAGAGGCTAGGGACACCATCCCTATCCATCCTGGCTAATAGCCATTGATGGACCTATCCTCCATGAACTTATCTAGTTC